GTGTTTTCAATTAATGTTGGCATGACATACTGTAGCTATGGATTATTATGTCCCAGTGTTTATTGTGTATCTTGCACATGATGAGTAATAAATGTTTAGGAAAAATAATGGAAAAAAACTTCTTGTGAGGAAGTAAAGATAAAACAAGTCATTTTGGTGATTAATTAGTAATGGATACAAGAGCAGTGGGCATGAGAATAGGAGAGGTTAGTAATGGAGTTTTGTATATAGAACATTCTGAGCACAAGTACCAGCTTATGGGAGATGTAATAAATATTTATATTAATAATGTTTTGGTATAGTTCAAGTTTCGTTGTTGACTTTCCATGGATGATGCACAAATCTAAATGGAGGTGTGTTTGTACTGTTCCATTTCATGTCAGAACTGTTAGGGTGCAGGAGAGACTTTTTTTTAAAGTGACAAGTCACAAAAGCTCGTCTCTTTCATGTTAATGGCTATGAATTCTGTGGGGCATTTAAAGTTGAAATATATTGATTCCTCATTGATATACAGCTCTGATGCCTTCAGCGATGGTCAATAAGGAAAAGTGCATTATACAGACACTCTTCCTAAATGTCATTATGTTCAATGTGTATTGGAGCGTGGACATCCTAACAGCAATGTAATAACACATAAAAAACTATTTAGAATCTGTTTTAGCTAGTGCAGCCCTTTCCCTTATTTTTTTGTTTTTGTGATTCATTTCTGTATCTGGGAAGTTGTTTCTATATTTTACTTTTAAGTCCTCAGTTGTTTTTAGTTCTAATTACAGCATGTTCATGTAGCATTAATTTAAAACATATTCTAAGAAATTAGTAAATACTATTATTTTAAATTTTATTTAATAATAATAAAAAAACAGTATAGAAGATTAAATGCACAGCTTCTCCTGAACTCCATTTCCGAATGTTGCATAGTTTATTTCACAAAAATATTTTGATATGTCATGTTTAGTTGTGAAATGTTACTGTATGTTCTTTTGAGATTCCTGATAGTGCATTAAATAATTGAAGTCTTCTGTTTAATGTTTTATTCTAAGTCTGGGCGGTAGTTTCTGACCAAATCAGATCACAACACTGCATCTCTAACTATTTAAGCATGTAACTGGAAGCATTTACATACTGTCCAGTGCATATGCAAGAGTGGAATGTACCTCAATACACCTGTATATTTTTAACATGTTTTTTCAGTTATCAGAAGCCAGAACAAACAGCTTAGAGCTGCTGGAAAGAAATGCAGACCTTCAGAATCAACTAGAAGACTTAAGAAACAATTCATTATCTAAGAATTCTAATACCCAAGAGCAGGTACTGACATAAAATGTGATAAAATGTAATATTTATTGTTTTGTTTGTTACATTTTAATGAAGTTAATAACACATGTTCAAGAGACTGTACCTTAACTGTTACTCATACCCTTCTCACTAGGGTATAAATACTGTATAGTCATCCCTCGCTTTTCGCGGGTTGGTACTTTGCTGTTTCGTTTATTCGTGGGTCAAAAAAAATCCCTGTACTTCCCCGCATTGCGTATTAGTCTGCCTACTTTCTTTCTTCAAGTGAAGTTTTTTTTGCCCCATATACGTTATTTATATTAAATATGGGACCTAACCGTGCTTCTAGTTCTCGTGCTAGCAATCGTGGAACTAAAAGACTCAAGAAAGTGATGATTTTGCCAGAGAACGTTGCTCTTTTAGACACGTTAAAAGAAAGAAAATCTCAAACCAGCGAAAGTGAACCAGTCACAAAATGACATTAAAAGTGAGTGAAAAATAAAATGCTTTTCATTTTCATTATTTTGTTAAATGACTAAAAGGGATTTAATATCAAAGAAACATTAAAACTGTATAAAAATGCTTGAAATCCTAATAAAGTTGTTTATTGGGTAGAAAAATTAGTTATTTGTTACCAAGACTTTTATGCCTTTCCTTCGTTTTCCCCCTCCCTTTCCATGTGTCACAACATGTGAAAATCAAGTAATATGCTCTCGAATGTTCTCTAAATTGCCCTCGATTAGAAAAAGAAAACTAAAATATTGTTTTTTTGGGACCGGGGTTGTTTTGGAGAGGGCGGTCAATTATTTGCAGATGTTCACTTTTTGTGGAAAGTCTTGGAACCTATCCCCTGTGAAAAGCGAGGAATGACTGTATTTCAGACTTATCTTTCCCAGTATTCTGTGCCCAGGCACCCCTACACCATTTCCCTTTACCAGCAGTGCCGTAATTCTATGGCAAGGTGGAATACACCCTGAATGGGACACCACTCCATCAGTGGACACACGTACACAAATGCACACACACTCACACCAGGGCCAATTTTTTTCAGAGAAGCCAATAAACCTAGCAACATATCATTGGACTGTGGGATGAAACCAGAGCATCTGGAGGAAAGCCAAGCAAAGAGAAAATGCAAACTCCACCCAGCTAGGACCCTAGGAGTTGAACCCAAGGCCCCAGGGTTGCCTTTAGACATGTTTTTCCATGATATATAATATGCATCAAAATAAATGTAGCACTCTACATGTGCTTTTAGTAGAGTAAAATACAGTATATAGAATTTGGAATGATAAAAGTTTTTTTGGTCATCATTTTGTTTAATTGTTCTTTCATTACCCACCGTGAAACACAAGTGGGTAATGAAACTTGTCACCTCATTAGTGAGATAGTTGTTTTGACTCTGTTAATAAGATTATTTCATCTGTTGAATGTCAAGACTGATGAAAATCAAGATAGGAACCAGTATGCCCCTCTTGTCAAGAGCAGCCAACCATTGTGCAATCAATATGCTGGAACCTGAGCTACACTGTCACTCGCCATTACAACTGGTCATTTCTTACCTGGCAAGACTAAAAAAGTAAAAGTCAAAAACACTGTGTCATTTATGACTCATGGTCCTAGATCATGGAGATCATGGCCTGCCATGATCCATCATCATGCTCCATGATTTTTCTGATCCAGTGGAACTGACAGTTTTTGTCTTGCCAGCATTAGAAAATCTGTCACAACCACCCACGCAGTTTCCACTGTGACTACTGTTATTAGATTAATTTAATATTCATCCCAGATGACATTTGAAAGTCTTGCATAGAGAAGAATAGCTGTGTAATGTCTGTGTCTGTTGTGTTGGTGTGCCAAAAGCACATTCTGCTGGAACAGGGAAAGGAAGAGACCGTTTGAGGTTTGCTTCTTCCAGAGAATGTATGCAAGAGGACTCTAGATTTGAGAACAAATCAGAAGTTGAGACTGGATTGGGAAAAACATTTGATCCCTTGTAGAACTAAATATGCTCCAATATTCAGATCTTTCCATAAATTTTGATTTTTAGCAATAATGTGTCAGGACCTTGGGAGATCAAACGCAGAATTTAGTGCAACAGGTGATTGATTGCGAGGTGTTCAGGTGTATCAGCAAACCCATTTAGCTGGTCCTCTTTGCTGGGTCATCCTATTCCTCTCAGTGGATGTCCAGCAGAGGTTCAAGTCCAGATGTTCATTCTTCTTAGAACATCGGACTGAGAGGGCCTGGTTTGGGCATTATATCACTATGTAGTGCCTGGTTTAGGTGTTGGAATGCCAGGGCAATCCAGTTATCAAGAGTCCTACTTCAGAGACATTCCTAAGGAGCTGGCTCAGAGGAGTTGACCAGTTCCTGGGTTTATTTCCAAAGAAAGAGAAAGATTTTTGTTTATGATAAACAATTCAAAGGCGTTCCATAGCCATCTAGCTACAGAAAGACTGTAACACATAAAAAGACTACACTGATCATTTTACATAAACAAACATGACAGAAATGGACCCAGTGAACTTCAGAATCAGAAACGTTTTTAGACTTCAGTTCAGAAGCTCAATTTTACAGAGCCATTGAAAATCCAAGGTCAACATCAGCATATACTGATCTTTATTATGTTGATGAATGGTTTATGAAAATAAAAGCTAATAATCTAAAAAATAAGAAAACAGTAAACTCACTTCATAGTTCAAAGATTTTTTTTAACCTTCAGATAAGTTCTTGACATTTATTTAACTCATTCTTCCAGTTCACACACTTGGAAAAGCAATGTGTCATGACATAAAATTAACTATTTACAATTTGTCACAGTACAAGTTATTTTGTGCTATAGAAGAAATGCAATTGATTTATTGTCATGACTATGCAGGTTACAGCCAGTCAATCATCCATCCATTCTTTAACTACTTCATCCAGTACAGAGTTGCAGGGGAACCAGAGCCTTTCAGGCAAGCAATGGGCGCAAGGCGAGATACACCTTAGGCAGGACACCAGTCAGTCGCAGGGCAAACACACAGAAATGCACATACTCACATCTAAGACAAAGTTTGCCACTTAACCTACTGTAACTCTATGTTGATAGACTGTGAGAAGAAACTGGAGCACCCGGAGGAAACTCATGCAAACATGTGGAAAACATAAAAACTCCATCCGGGTAGTGTCTATGTATTTGTGAATTCCCCACTTTAGGTTGGGCATTAACATCTTTTGGGATGATAGCTGAGAATGTGAATGCAACAGAAGAGGAAGCTGTCACAATGGGCCTATTATGTTCCTTTCCAAAACAAACATTCCTTGCAGCAATTCTTATACAGTTCTGCAGGACACAACCAGTGTTCTTATAAATATCATACTCTTGCAGGAACTACTGTGCTATGGTAAGCAGGCTCTCTCAGATATTGCATTAACCTTTCCTGCCTGAGTACTGGTACTTCATTCCACTTTAATATAAAAATGCACTAAGCTTTTGCATTTGAAACAATAAACACCTGTGCCACTGGAAGCTCTAGAAAGATTTTGTGTTGTGGTTTTTGAAACGTTTCTTTTGCACAAAATCTCTCCACATTGCCACTCCTATGAAGGATTTATTTTTAATGCATTTAACCCAGGGTGTGTTATCAGTTATAATGTTCCCAATTAGTGGCCTGTACGAACAGCTGACCTTTCTCACCTGGATGGATGGATAATTGGACACCTGCTAATTTTGACAGTTTGCAGTGTCATAATGCTTTTTAGATCAGTTATCCTTCTGAACAGAGTGCATATTGAACAGTTATGAGTTATAGGTGTTTTTAGTTTTTCTGTTTATATTCCTATAACCTTTCTGTAGCCTGTGACTTTTAGAATGCTTGTAGTTATAGTGATATTCCTAGAGATGTTTATTAAGATCTATATTTGGTCCTACATGAAAATACCTGCACCACTTTCTTTTGGTTTTAAGTTGTTTAAATATATATTTCTTTTACTTTTTGCCTAGTACATTCGAAGGTTAGAACAAGAAATCACGTTTTCCAAAGAACAGATTGTGTCATTGGTATGTACCCTGCAATTTCCCAATTTAAAACACATTAGAATGTGATAATGTAACTTTTTTACATAGTATAATGAATGTTTCTTGGGTTCAATTAATCTTTAGACATAGGAGTTTCCATTATTAATTCATTGGAAAACATTGCTTTTCAGAATATTTTTTTGTACTTACTAAATAAGAATGAACCATTTTTGTTTTGAATTGAAATTTCTGGAGTTATTTTCCAATTAGAAAAATTCTGAATAATATCAATTATACCTGCAGGTCAAGGTTCCAAGGATTCTTTCATGTCTTTAATCACTACATTTACAAAAAAAATACTTAACTGCTTAAATTATTACCTTTCCCTGAAGTCTTAACTTTCCCTGAAGTCTTACCTTTTTAATGATTCTAAGAGCTATTGATTTATAAGATCAAAAAGATAATGATTTATAAGAGCTATTGGAATGTGGAATGTATAGGACCCCTCAGTGATGTTTTCTGAGTTGCGTTTTACAGTAGCACTTCTTTTGCCCTTTTCATGTTTTTTTCTTCATTTATTTTTTTCTTTTTAGAAACAGAAACACAAAAGAAAAATGAAAAAGTTGAAGACAGAATTTTTACAAGCAAAACAAGAAACTTCAATAATGGCATTTGAAATGAGAGAAAAGATTCAAACTCTGCAAGAACACAGACATTTCACTAGAGGTCACTGTTATCTTTTTTATTTGGTATTTTATGTGTGTTTTGAGAAGTGTCTATTAGTAAAGTTGCTTGGTGTAAAGTTGGTAGTGTTAATACAAAACTATTAAATGGCATAAATCAAATTAACCTGATAAAACAAATGACCAAAACAGGTACTCATTCAACATTTATTTATTCTCAAATGATGCAACATTCAATATCCATGTGTGACAAAGTATGTGATAGATTTAGTAATTGGTGGTATGTTACCTGTAACTGTCAATTAGTCTATTACATATGTTCTGAGGAATTTTCCCTTTCCTCCTTATATATATTATATTTCCTCCAAATATTTGATGGCTGCCTTGCATGGACAGGTCACTTGAGATCCACAACATTTCAGTGGAGTTTAAGGTCTACACTTTTACTTGCAGCCATTCTTTTATAGATCTGCTTGTATATTCAGGATCAAGACCCACTTTCAGTTCAGCTTGAGGTCATGAGGTCACTGCCATGGCCAGACATTCTTCTCTAGAATTTTTTGATAAAATGTAGAGCTCATGATTGTGTTATAATGGCAATTTGTCCAGGTCTGAGGCAGTAAGGCAACCCCAAACCATAACACTCCCACCACCAGGCTTGATAGATGGGATGACGTTCTTCTGCTTGAAAGCAGTATTTGGTTTTTACCAAGTGTAACATTTTTCACCATGAGAACTACACTTGACTCAGAAAACATTTTTCCAGAAGCCCTGTGGATCTGTGTACTCTTCAGTGAACTTCAGATGCACAGCAGTTGTCATTTTGGACAGCAGTGGTTTTCCTCTTGCTATTCTTCTATGAACACCATTCTTGTTCAGTCATTTTCTGATAGTTGAATCATGAACACTCACATTAGCCAAGGCAAGAGTAGTCGGGGTCTTACTCCGGGGTTCTTTCTAAATTTGTTGATGATTTTCCAGTTTATTCTTGCAGAGATTTTGGTAGGATGACTGCTCCTGGGTAGAATGAATGGTTTTGAATTTTCCCCATTTGTAAACTGGCTAACAAAGGATTGGTGGCGCCCCAGATTCTAATAATCCTTTCCGATTGATTTGCCTCAATAACTTTTTCTACAGTTCTCAGTGACTTCCTTAGATGGTAGCATGACTTTTTTCCACACACCTGTATGGTGAAGACCAAAAATGATATCATTTTCTGATCTATATATAAGGTGAAGCCTTCTAAGATCTACCTATTTATTTAAAAACTTGATTCTAATTATTCCCTTAATTGTGCTAATTAAATGAGGGGTCCACTTTTTCACATCCCCTGTATTGTACCTTTTTTAGTTTTTTTTTTATTTCATTTCAAGAGACATAGAATTGGTTTACATAAAGACTGGCTTTGATTCAAGGACACTGTCTTGGCCAAACTATGAAATTTCCATATTTATCTTTGGGGTTCACAAACATTTTCTCAGCATGGAAATAGTTTTATTGAAAGTGTCATAATGTACTGTTTTATCTGTTGGTTTGGTAACATTAATGCTACAATTTGTAGAAGATTTAGGAAAATAGTGATATTTATTACAATAATCATTGGGATAAATCAGGATCAGCCTAAATGAAATTTACCAGCTAAGGGTTCTAAAGAAGACTAACAGCATTATTGCAAGTGTATCCCCTTCATAATGAATTTGCATTACTCCCACCTGGGAAACACCTCAGTATAGATAGGATATAGTATAGTATTGGAATTCATTTAGCCACTAAAATCATTTAGTTTTCAGAAAATACATTCTTTAAATAATTTGTCCTGATCTCTTTTTTTTGTGGTATTGTTGTGTTGGAATCTGCTGCCAAACAAATGTCCCCTAGAGGTTAATAATAAAGATAAAATTGAAATGAGTGCAAACACTTTTGTGTAATGTTAAGATGCCCCTTATATTTAATTATATACAAGCAAATTGTGCTGATAGATGTAGGACTTGCCCATGGTACAAATTCTGACATAATAGTGCATAACACATTACAATATTTCATTATTGAGGAAAAAAGCTTCTGAAATGTTATGACTAAGGCATTCTCAACATGTAATTAATACAATGTAATCTATTACTTTATAAATGTCAGTTGATTAGATTTATACTTATATAAAATAGATGATATACAGTAAAGACCTATTTTCCTTTAACCTTTGAGTCTGTTGCATGCTTTATCAATGTGGTATGAGGTGACGAAATCTGTTAAACGCCAGTTCCTGTTAAATGTAATTTGCACATTTCTTGTTCCTCTAAAAGCACTGAAATTATCATTTGAAGATAACACGTTATCAGTAATAAATACAGTGATATACGTACATTTTCTGTTTTCTTTAATGAATACAATTCTGAAATTAACCAGTAAAAGTAGGTTTTTATCTCAATCATGTATTTCCTTTTTTCAGCTATGGAAGATTCTTGTGAAAAGCTAATTGAACAACACAGTGGAGATGACGGCAGAGTTCACCTTATTCTTGAACTGTCAAACCAGGTGTCTCAGCAACAGGAAAAAATAGAGTGCTTGCAAGCAGCCATGAAGCAGAAAGACATGCATCTGAGGAAACTTGAGGGCCAACAGCTCAATTTTATTGCTGATTCAGGACTATTGCAAAAATCCATCATATCTGTTGTTCCACCAATCAGCAGCCAGAAAGAGCAAAGTTACAATCCAGAACATACATCTAGCACACCCAGGATTGTGTGCACCTGTCCCAGTCATGAAAATCCCTTAGAAATAAAAAGTCCTCCCTGTGATAAAACATTACAGTACACATGTACCTTTGGATGGAACCAAGTTCCAGCACTCGGCTCAGAGGAAGCTTATAACACTGAACTGAAGAAAACTGCAGTTGATATTGCGGCTCCAGAGAAAGACCACAGAATTTCATCAGGAAGTTCAACAGAGAGTGGGGTTTCTATGTCTTAAAAAAACACTATAGGTATGTGATGAACTCTGTTTTCAAAGTTTAAACATTTACAGATGGACAGCATAAATAAAACATTTTGTATGACATTTTATGTTTAATTTGATTGTTCCAATGCTTTGATTTTCTAAAATTATTTTTGGAATAATTAACATTATGAAACTTTATGTTCACTATCAAAAAGCTAAGTTCCCTAAAAATGACCTCTCTTCCTACTTGCTTTCTTTCCTTTCTTTACTTCCTGCATGCTGAGGAAAGGAGTATGTGGAAACACAAGTCCATTTCGAATAAGGAAGGATTCTCAGAAAACGAATCCCATGTTGCCTTTTATGAAAAGAAGACTCATTTGATCAGATTTCCTGTTGTTTTTAACAGGAAAGTATGTCAGTAGTCTATAGTAACGTGTATACAAAGAAAGTACAGTAGGGTCTCAACAACTGAAAATGTTACATTCGCAAATTGCATATTCGCGATTCAAAGACCAAAGTGGGATGAAACCCAGCCGAAAGATTGTTGAGCAACTTAAAAATTAACTGCACCAAAAGAATTCTATCTGGAGATGAATCTAGCTGTTGAGAGAGCCTCTCCCTGCCCCCTGCCCAACTACTGAGAAGCTGGATCTCAGCGTGGTCTTGTATTTGTATTGTAACGAACACTCCAGTTTTTGTGCTGGCTGCAAGTGGAAGTGTTTGTGTGAAAACCGGCTGCCACACAGTTTACACTATGAAACCATTACACACTGTGAACTTAGCAGCATCTTCAGAGCTGCTGCTGCTGCATACAGACCACAACACAGACCTGTTCTCTCTTACTTCAGTCTGGTCACTGTTACTGGTGTACCTCCACAGCAGTTAGGCAGACATATAAACACGCAAACCGCTACCTCTTTCACTCTACCTGAGCCAGATCTTCTGCCTTACTCTGCCTGTGCTACTGTAGGTCTACTGCACACTGCACTACATATTGCACAGGAGATACAGTCCTGCTTCCTCTCAGTCCTGAAGTTAACTAGGGGTGTACACCATGGTTTGCTCTGCTATCAGGGAAGTATCCAGTATGCAGTTATAGGACCGCCCATAACTGGACCTCATCAGATCACATATCTTCTGCAGCTGAAGTTGCTTAGAGACACTTGCTTTTCCAGGAGAAGCTCTGTCCCTCAGCATTCCCATTTCTCATGCAGCATTACACTCCCTTCCCCAAGTACGAAGCGTCTCGTGGGATAACCACACTTGTAATGGTGCCTACAGCTGTAATTAATTCAATCTCTAATTTCTTACAGCTGTAGATGCTGTAAAAATAATACATACAGTATATATATTTTTTTTTTGCTGAGAAACCTCATCCCTCACCATTCCTGCTTCAGGTGGCATTACATTATGTGTCTGAAATTATATATAGTATTTAGGATGCTCACGATTTTACAGGTCTTTCATTCAAAATATCCCAATTAACATTCTGAGATATATTTTTTAAATAAGCTTTAAAAAGTCTTGATCATGAAGGTGCCTAAAGTTTCAACTACAAAGAAATAAGTAACAAAATAGTTCTGGATTACAGAGGCTTTAAATAATTGATGTTTTTTCTCTTCATTAAATATTGCATGTTTGTACATTTTACCCAGACATTCATTAGGTTAGGTTCTGAGAACTGATGTCAAACATTTGGAATTTTTAAGAGAGTAGATAACATTCCAATCAAAAGCTTTCATAGAGGCTTTGGGTATGAGAAGAGCAAATTCATAGAAAGTGTTTTTTAGTATACCATTGTAACTAATTCATTACAAAAAAAATGATTGTATAAAGTTTTCTTTTAAATTTAAGGCCTAGTGATTCACAATTCACCTTCCAGCTGGATACTCAGTGCCAACCACGGACTTTCTCACTTTGATTTTGAATCTTGAATATTGACTTTCTACTGGGCTGAAGCAAGATGCCTCTTGTAAACAAAAAGTTACCACATGTTACCTGTAGGAAGTTTGTGATTAGCAGATTTGCACAAAGTTAGATTCCACCTGACCTACAGTATACAATGTAACAACATCCTTACACATCATTCCTCGATTAGTCATACCTATTTTCACATCCGGTTACTCCTCATTCCTTTTTAAGTACTCTCCTTTCCCTTCCTTGAATGACATGTTGTCTTTGAGTCGTGCATCACTCCTCCCCACTTTTTGAGTTATTCTTAACCCCTACCTACCCTCCCTGACTCAATCTTATCTCCTTCTTGACTCCTGTGTCATCGCTCACCCCTGTTCAAGTCATTTCATTTCAACTGTCACCCCATTCTTTATTAAGATGAAACAACATGATGCACACTATAGGTATCAATATAAAGCATATCACACAACTGTCACAATGAGAGTACAGCATTAAAAAAATCACTGTGATTGTCAAATACAGGAAAAACGTTTTGTAAAAAAAAAGTTTTTACAATGTAATAACATTGCAAATATTAAGCTTCATTAATCCTTTTAAATTTAATATAATGTAATTTAAGACAGTATACCCGATATACTATGATAACATAGTAAGAGTTATGTATTTGCAAAGAAAGGATAATGTTGTAGAAAATAAAAGTGTGCCCTTTTATCCTACAAAAGATGACTTTAAACAGGAGAGACAGGTTTGGATTGACGTGAGGAGGAATGATGAGTGTCTAGAATATGATTAATATCTGAGGATGTCAAAAACCTACATAGTGCAGACATATGGTACAGTCTACCAAGCTGGTTCAGTCTGTAATTTTTTTTTCGTTAGACTTATTATGTAGATCAAGCATTTAAGGTAAGGTACAGAACCAAAAAAAAACAAATGATGGGATAGACAGGTTAGTCTGTTAATTCACAGAGGTAAACTGTGATTTAAAAGCCAAACAACCCAGTTCACTGAAATGATGAATGCCTGGCTGAAAAAAAACAAGAAATTGATTAAAAGTCTGCAGTTTCTGTTGGTAATTCCAGTGTTATTGGAAATCTGTAGTCAGTGCTGTTAGTGAAGGTCGATAATCATTGCTTGACTTTGTAAAGTCATATCAAAGACCCTATTGCTGAGAGTAATGTATGAAGGCAACTAAGGCTGACATGGCATGTTATTTTGTTTTTTAACTTTTGTGAAATCAAATAGATTAAGCATATATAAACAAAAAGTAGTAGATTAGCAACAAAACTAGACAATGTTGATCAGTGCTCAAAAACATGGATTTCCTTTAGCACGTATTTGTTTGCTTTTGATCTGTCTGTAATTTAGTAGCGAACTAAAGATGCCTTATAATTAAAAGACATTGGTAAGTGCTGTCTGACCTTTCAAAGCTGAGTATAGTTCTCTCCCTTTGCATGGAATTGCTGATATGAGAGAGGATTTTTTCTATTATAATTAGATAATAGGGTGAAACAGCTGTCCATGGTTGTTTGTCTTGAAGAAGTCCCTTTTGACAGTTCAGTTCTGCCTTCAAGCAATGGGAAAGTCTTGCCATAGTTATATAATATTCACATATTCCAGAATTTATTAAGTTAATGTCCTTGCTTAATTCTGAGTGTTTAACCTGAGATACGGTAGTATAACATCCAATGGGATGCCTGTACCTTCTCTTCACTTTTGCTCAGTAGCTTTAGCTTTATAGAATACAGGTTGGCAAGTGGCCTCTGGTTACTCCAAATTAACAGTGGTGACAATCAACAGTCCAATTTTTACATAGGGAAAATAATTATGCTTTAGTTAAGATTCATCTTAGTGAAATGACTCAATAAGGAAAAGGATGGAAATGCTAACCTCTTAAGGATCTAAATTCTGTCAGCGAATAAAGGCTTTACTGCACAGCAGGATACTGCACTGAGTCTCTGACTTTGAGTTTTCTTTATTACCATGACAGCAGGGTATACTATAAACAGCCAGTTACAGAGATGTAGTCAAAATCAACTTGTTTAATGAGCGGACGTGTTGTTGACAGCTGTCTGTGCTGGCTTTCATAATGTTTTGAAATTAGAAATATTTTTTAGGAACCTTTTTATTTAAATTGAGTACCAACAAAGTCAAATAACCTGTTGCTCAGCAAACAAATGCCCTCTTTTATTTAACAAACTTTTTGTGTGTATCGTAAAAAGAGCAATATGATCAAAACAATCTTTCTTCATTAGAAGTGTTTAAATTTCTTATGCGAACAAGTGCGATAAATATGAATTTTGTATTATTTACAATATAGCCTGTGTCCACATTTATCTTTTATTCATGGTTTTTCTCATACAATACAGAACAGCTGAAAAGGTGTGTCTTTACCTGAATGCCTTACGGCAGTTTAACATGATCAGATCTGTCAAATTTGATCTGACATTTTCCCCAGATACTTTCATAATAGGATTTAATCTCAGAGAAAGCTTTGTGTCTTTACTCTATGGAGTATACAGTAGAACTAGTTTTGTGAGAAAGTGCTCACATAGCTTGAGGAGCACCTGGGAAAAAACACATGCAAACACAGGAAGAACATACAACCTCCTCAAAGAATGTGCCCCAGTCCAGTGTGCTGCCTAAACTGAATTAATTACTTGAAGTGAATGGCCTGATGAGTTAAGAGAAGAGAAGCAAAATCAGATCTGTGCTGCAGAAAGTAGCTTTTGACAGAAAGTATCAATTTTAATGAATCCCGTCATCTGTATAAGCTATATAAGCTGTACACCCTAAGAAAATCAAGATATACATTTATTCTGTAATATTAAATATATGCACATTTAAAGGGAGCATTTAATTCCATTATAAGGAAGCTTAAAATGCCAGTCTAATGTAGTAAAATATCCTGTTATATTTCAGATTTATTTAATCTCCTTTATACAATCTCCTTCTGTAACACTGATATAGTACATTTACCTGTTAATAGATGGAATTCATAATGAAAGCTGAGCAGAAGGAAAAACACCAATCTCATACAGTAGGTCAACCAGAAACCTGTTTTCCCCCTAGAATGTGTTTAACCTCTTTGTAAGTCTGAGTCATTGATGATACAGGGAAGTGGTGTCCAATAGCCTCTGGTAGTAAGTGGAATAATGGTTAATGGACTGTGAACAGCAGTGCTGGGGAGAGCTACAGTCTTAACAGAGAAGTGTTGTTGATTGCTGACTGACACAGCAGACGGTATCTCACCATACTGATTTACCTGATTTTCTTTGTTATTGGTCACTTTGGAATAAATCACCATGTGGCCTTGGATATTGCAACAATATACGCCAGATTTTCATTCTAGTATATCTGTAAAGCCTCAGCAGGGGTATCAGATTTTCATTCTAGTATATCTGTAAAGCCTCATTACAAGATAGCTAATACATTTTCCATCAGACGTAAATGAATAACAAAGGATTTGAGTCCCACAGCGCAATTCTGTTCATTGCTTTGTCAATTTACAAATGCTCTCTCCCTTGTTAGCGGGAGATTACTGTCTTGATTCATCACCACACAATTGTCCAACCAATCACCCTCTGCTTTGTCTTACAGTCTGCTTATCCTTAAAGGAAAGAGCAGACATGAAACATGGGACTATAAACTACCTCACCTGTACTTAGGCATTTAGCAAAGTAATACCCTCTTTTCCCTAAAAAACACTCCATATACTTGAAGAGGGGGGCTCCATGGCAGTGAAAACAGATTTTCTCGCTAGTCCCTTTGTCTTGCAATCCTTATCCCTATGTCATTCCAGAGGATTGGAAAGGCTGGAAACGGCAGAGATACAGTGCACACAAGACAATCCATCATTGTTACCATGGTGTCTCCCTAATCTTTGCTCAGACATTAAATAAAAAGCCCACAGGAACTGAAACTTTTACTTGACCCTTCTGTTCCCCTTTTTACTTAGTGTTTTGTTGCCTTCATTTTAACAGGGTATAAAGTGGCCTAATCAAAGTAAACTGGCAATGTCACAGGTAGTAACTCATCAATTCCACAGACGATTGGACTCCCATACATTCTTCTTCTCCAACAATGTATTTTTGTTCTCTTGACAGGAGATTGTGATTAACACATAATATATGTGGCTGTCTTCTACTTGAAGAGCACTACCCCCACCCCAACCTCAGGGTTATTAGTTTAGAATACCAACCTTTTGGTAAGATTAGGAGCTATGGGTACAGCAGGACTCTAAAACCTTTGTAGTCTTTAAGCAGATGAAAGTGATTCTTTGCAATCTGTGTCACTGACAACTGAGGTTTCATGCTGGTAGAGATCAAGAAAACTTAAGTGCTTTCCAATACATGAAATACATGATTTCTTTCAAGCGTAAGGTAACAATTGCTTTAACTGAGACGTTCACTACTTAGCAGTTATTTATTTTGGTACTAGTTAAGTGTATAGGTGCAGCATATACTGTGTAGAGCTAAGCAAACATAATTAAGTTTCACTACTGAAATTCAGTTTTGCAAGATTACCTTTCAGTCTTCTGGGGTAAGCAGACACAGAATAGGAATAAATGATAAAGGCAACACTTTCCCTAATGTTACCTTTTTATTCATTTCTAAAATGCTGTTTCTTCAGTTAAGATGATTTCCAGTGTAAAAAAAAAAGTTTTCTGATGCAATATTCTGTTTTCAATCATAAATAAAACATAACCCACAAGACAATTACATTCTTATAGTTTCTCACCTCACATGTTCTCTGTGTGAGTAGGAGAGTGCTGGCTTCGTTCTTTCCAACACAAGGTTTTAATCCCAGCTTGGTTTAAAGTCTGCATGTCTTTGAAGCTGTGGCCTTGGCAGACGGTGGATTCAGCCCTGTCTTCTCAAAAGCCCTCTGACTTGTCCTGCAGGTAAAGTGCAAGAAGTGTTCACCTTTAATATACCAGTATGCTTGCAATGTGTTACGGTTACAGTCCTTCAGAATTCTTCATCCTTAGCAACGAGTTGAGCTGAACCTCGAAAAGACAAAGAAAAGTGCAGGAAGAGCAAAGTCGAGACATGGTTACACTGCAGTGATGAGTCCCAGTTAAGATGAAGGATGAACTGTCTGTTGATGCCAATGGTTTGGATGGCTCTGTAAGAACACCAAAAAATTGAAATAATCCTTGCAATTCCAATGTTCTTTTATGTAATTCTGTAATTATTACTTTGTGATTGACTTTATAATATGATATACAGTATATACAGGTATAATACATCATAGTAATGTAGAATATAGAATGTATATTGAAGGACACAGAAACTTAGAAAAGTACCAAAACCTGTCTGTTTTATACTGTAGGTTTGGCAATACAACATAGTTCACATATTTGAAAAATCTCACTGGCATTACAGATCTAATATGCTATCAGCAATGTTTGTGTTGTGTTGATAACAGGGCATTGTGACATATTACATGAATTATCTGCAAATTAAATTATGCTCTTTCAATTATCTGACCTTTATTATTTGTTTTCCATATTACGTAAGCATAACTGATGACTTAGACAAACTGAGTTCTTTGTTAGTACACTGTTGTTTAGTTCCGCTGACTTGTTCTTGGAGTCCATTCAATTTCATAGATATAAGTATTAGAGAATAAAAGAAATCATTGTTGCACGCTATGTAAATGCTCTTGCATTTCATTATCTCACAATACTGTTGCTAATTGTCTTCTTTTGCCTCACTTTAAATGTTTGTTTGAAACAACAGGAATGAAATAGGTCTCTGAATTGTAAAAGGAATAAGAATGTATGTGTGTTTAATTGTGGCAGAGGAAGAGTAGAGAATGATTCCTTTGTTTATCTGGATATGAAAAGAAGCTGTCAATTGTTAACAGAATTCTGAATTGGGTACCAATAGGGGGAACAAACCAAATCCTAAATTACCTGATGAATGTATACCTTGTCCCATGTGATAATGAGACTTCACATTAATTGATTACAGAATGTATCGTTTCATATGGTTATAGTTTTTGATCATTTTCAATAAACTTAATTGTATATTTTCTATTCAATATCAAGCTGTTTCCTGATGCCCAGCATAAGACCGTTCATATAATCAGTTGCTGATGGCCCTGCTACATAGAAAAACTTTGATGAATGTCTGTCAGCAAGATGAGCCCTAAATCATTGATACTAAGTTTAAGTCTACAATTAGGGTCCATGTCAGGATTCTGGAACTCAAATAACAAGCTGAACAAAGCTGGGTAAGAAAGCTGAATGATGGGTAAAGTGTGACATTGTGCATGTGGCTGGTGAGTGAGTTGCTGAAAAAACTGTGAATGTAATCTGAGTTTATTCACAACTTGTAGTTCAAGGTAAAAAACTAAACTGGTTTAAGGAGTCAGAACATTAAGAATGGCACATAAACCTGCCTTTCAGTCTTCCAATTTGTTTGATACTCTCACTGATCTGCTGCCAAGTTTATGGGAGTTTATTTTTAAGTGCTTAATAGATATTCCAGTCTGTGGAGGCTTATATCGGTATTTATTTTTCAGTTTTTTAAAGGAATAGCATGGTGCTATGATGTCTTAAAAATGTTCCTTTAAATACCAGCTAAAACTCTGAATCCATAGCTGAACTACACAATTATTTAGCTGCAACTTTGCAGAAGGGCTTGAAATTCCAGCAGACCTTGCTACTCTCTTTTCTCTTTATAACCCACAATACTTAACAAATTAGTGGCAAATCATTTTAACCATCCAGAACATGTCAAGCCAGTTTCAAGGATTAGCTGGCATAACTTATTTTTGTAAATATAACACTGCAGTACATGGTACTTTATTCCATGGTAACTGATTGGAAGAGAGAACCAGAGGTGAATAAATATAAAAAAGTGTGAAGGTCCTCTATATAAAAAGAACACGTGTCATTTAAAAGAATTTGAGATAATGCATGTTCTCAAAATGACTATTATTAATATATACAACAGCATTTGACACATTTTGCTCTAATGTAAACATTTCTCCAATTGTTCTTTTAAATGAAAACAGAGCATATTGTTAACCTCCACTCACTATCCATAACCGCTTCCTTTCATAGATATATTTATATATAATCTATAGAGAATGGTGGAAGATGGACCATGATCTGGCAGACAGACGAGAAATCGAGCAAATTTAGTTCTGGAGAAAGAAGAGAAAATTCAAACTTTTTAGCCAAATTAAATTCTGTGTTATATTAATGAAAACTTTCTTCAGCTCTCCAATATCACAGCAAATCCCGAGCACAAAATGTAGTAATAGAAGATTTTTATAAGGGGCAGAATCACTTTACTGCATACCCTTGCTTTATCACACTGACAAGTTTTTTTTTTCTTTGCTTATATACTGTAAATGAGTAATCACATTTTGGATTAAAAACATGTCCTGTTCCTGTCCTGTTGCTTTTTACTTCATCATAGCAAAATAAGGTTTCAACAGCCATGCTTTTTACTCCCCTGTTATTATCTTAGAACTTAAAATGCTACGGTATGTAATCTAAACATTTAAACCCATTGAAGGTCAGTCCTGTGCCTTAGGGAAGTCTGCAGTAAGAATAAGAACACACTGATCTGTGATCTCCACTGGATAGCTGTAATATTTGAAAGGCATTTAACATTTTAAGTGAAATCAAACATGACAAATAGTTTCAAAATAGTTGAACAAAAGATTAAGAGAAGTGTAATGACAGTCAAAAACCCTTTAAACTGCAATTACAAAACCATTTAAAATCAAAGCATAGTTCAAAACATAATGTAATGTACAAGAGTAAATGGTGTACATCGTAGAGCCAGGACTGTAGTATAAAGACTAAAATATGTATTTTTAAAACATACCAGAAATAATGCTGAATGTTTTTTTTTTCATTCATAAGCTCTAGAGAAATATTTACCTTTAACATTAAAAACTAAACATTGGGAATATTGTCACTGAAACGCGTTAAGCTTGCCCTTATCCCAAATTAGGAATACCTTTGTGTCTACTACTGTACACTGTCTTTATTTTTTGAGCTGTGACAGGATCTCTGTGGTGAAATAAAACTCTCAGTGTCCTGGACTGAAATTTATTGTTCAGTTTTAGCAATCAGCTATTATTGAGAGAAACTAAACAAATCCTCTAAAAACCGATAAGGTCAACAAAAAACATTTTTTAAAAAACATAAGAACATTTGACTAAAATGCTAACTTGATTTTCTTTTACATCTCTTACATGCAGAAGACGATTTTTAGAGCGAATTAATTTTGCTTGAGTACAGCAAAAGAAACTTTTTCAAAAAAGAAATGCAAAAATTACTTGTAGTTAATTGCAGCTTTTGGAACAATCAGCACATTGAGCTTTAATTCTCTAAGTCCTCTTACATCATGACTAATTGGTAGGATCTTTTTTTAGTGCACAGGCATCTTAGTAATCTCCATTCTATGGCTAGATCTAGCTTTATCATTTTGTTAAGAAAATAAATTTCTTAATTTTTAAATTTCTTAAATTGACCACCCAGGCTGTCCCAGCAATTCACTTTGAGCTGTTTGCCAATCCATTTAGCTAGCAAGTGCTGTTGTGTAATCTTAACAGACAGAAAACAAGAGGGGTAATTAAGAGCCCCTTAACCTGATTTAAAATATCTTTAAAATATGTGCTGAAAAAAATAGAATGTACTCTATTATATAACTGTAAAGACAGCTATCACAGAACTCGCAGACGGTTCTGTTCTTCAACAGAATGAGCTGAAAAACCAGGTGCAGCATATAAAGTCTTCAGGTCAATGTATTTAAGTCATTCAACAGTAAAGGTAGTGTCCAAGATAGTGTTTGAAATTCCCAGGTCAGACTACAGTATGTGTATTCAAATAAGGTTGTAAAATCTCTTTTCATGAACAGATGTGTAGTAACGTACTTAGTCGGGTACTTATTTCTTCCTATTCTGATTCTTTTAACCGCATGACATCCTTATCTTATTTGCCTTGACAGTAAAAGTTCATAAATGACCTGTTTCTCCTACCTTAGTGATTCCCCTATATAATGAAACAAGCTTTTTAGAGTAATCAAGCAACTGAAAAAATCAGGCTGAATGTCTTTGGCGACTGCATTTTGAGAGCTAATGAATAATGCTACCATTTACTTTTCTCTCTACAAAATCTATAGATACTGTACATATTTTCAAAAGACCTAAAGGGATTATTAAAATTCATCTCCTTATCATCCCAAATACTACCCATCCCAATAACCTTTAAAAATAATATTTAATGTTCGTTTTTCCCATTTCCCATGTAATGCCTTTGACCATATTGCATATGTACACTAACAATTCATCAAATAGTTAATCTAAAAATTGGGTACGCTCTCATTAAATAGGTGGCTAATGTTGACATGTACTATCCATTTGAAAAGAAATAACAGTGGAAACTAAGAGAAGATTTTAAGTGTGTTGAAGTCATATGAAATGACGGCTTCACTGTTAATTTGCTCTTGCATCCACGAACATTATTTTGAAAAAAAAATGGCAGACAAATATTTTAGAAAAACTTTTGAAAAATATAAGTCAGAGTTACATTTTAGTGTTTTCTTCCCTATTACATATCAGTGGCTTCTGTCATTTTGGATGTACATAGTGTTTTTGTTTGTTAACTAGGACTGTGTCTGGCTCATTACTAAGCTCTGATTCCTGGAACTGTCTGGAGTGAGAATTTCAAAGCAGAAGATAACGTGATGAACACTTAGCTTGAATTAATTATTAGGATTCCAGTAGCCTGATGGACTTTGATGAGTAAATGTGGGAATGCAATGAGGTCAAGCTCTGCCCTATAAACTTTCCATGAAGTGGATTTGTAAATGCAGCTCTTATCTGTCTTACAAACAAGTCAGGTCATGTCATCGTGCATTGTTACTT